CCCCACCGGGGGTCACCCCATGGGGGACGGGGTGCTGCCCCCATCCCATCCCCGGTTGTGCCATCACGGAGGTGCCCGTAGAGGAGGGTGGGTGTCCCCGAGTCCCGGCGGGTGGTTGGCAAGGGGGTCCGTGCGGGGGGTTGCCCGCTGGGCCCGGTGGCACCCGCTGAGGTGGACTCTGCCCCACACGCACCCAGCCCTGCTCTACCTGTCCCCCCCCCACCCTGGCTGCCTGCCCCCAACCGTCTGTTTGCCCGGGGTGGGGTGCGGTATTTACCCTCCCGCCGCGGCCCGCGCCGCTGTCTTGGGGCCACGGCCACACTTGACCCTGGGTGGGGGGGCTGCTTTCGCTGGGCGAGGGGACGCGGTGCTGGGTTCGGTGAGTTTTTTGGCGTGCCTCAGTTTCCCCCCACCGCAGCCAGGCTGGCTGGGCTGGGAGCTCACGGGGAGCGGGCTGGGGGCTCACGGGGAGCGGGCTGGGGTCCCCCCCCGGCGCTGGCAGAGGCACACGGTCGCTGCGGGTGACTCGAGGCCGCGGCGGTGATGCCGGGTGCTGAGGGAGGGGCTGGGCTCAGGAACTTGAAGTGGGTGCACGGAGAAGGGGAAGCTGTGGGGCAGGGGAGGGTGTGGGGCAGTGGGGCCGGGCCGGAGGGCTGGCTGGAGTTGGGGGTGCCCTTGCTGGGGATGAGCATGTAGAGCGGGTGAAGGCCCTGGGCATGGGGAGGTGATGGTGGGGGGTGGGGGGGATGTCACTGTTGGGTCCCTCTGAGACCACCCACCCAGGCACAGGCTGGCCGCCCCCCCCTCGCTGGGTGCGGGGCCCGAGGCCGTGGCAGCGCGACTCTGCCAGCTGGTGCCGTGCACCCTCGGTGCACACGTGGCATGAGCGCGACGGGCCTGAGCGCGACGGGGGCGGGCAGTGGGCGCAGCGGGGGTGCGGGGCCAGCGTGGCCCCCCAGACCCTGGCCCTCGAGGGGCGGCTGCTGCCCCGCGCGCGGAGCAGGAACTTCTCCTTCGGGGCGGG